AACAATTTCCGAATACGTGTTGATAGCTCGTTAAGCAGCAGCCGAGCATCCGTTCGCAGTTGAGATCGAATTGCATAAAGAGCTTGCGTGCTGAGACACAAACACACAAACTCATCGAAGTTATGGTTAAAGAAAAACCGCACATTCCTTCATACACTTCTGGGGGATGTGGCATTTCAACAAACTTGAAAAATACATTAAACTTGGTCTCTCGCCTTACCCAAAGCTTCTTTTCTTTCTGTTGTTTCTGAAAATAGCATCAAGTTTGAAATTCTTTTAGCATGCTGTCTACTTCGATTTGTTCAAGCTGAATGAGCATCTAAGCATTTTGACAGTTTCGAAAAAAAAAAATGTTTCCATATTCAAAAAGATGCGAGCCTACTGTTTTTCACTTCCCCTCATCAAGAATTATGCCCACGATGAATTATTCAAAAAAAAAAAAATCAAATAATAATGCAGGCGCATGTAATGAAATGAAATCATTTTTTGCTCACCAGAATCCATTCGCCCACTGCTTTTGCCTTTGTTTTTCATTCCAATACCAATCACAACATACTTTACCTAACATCAGCATTAAAAACGGAATAGAATGTGGCAAAATGTTTGTTACAAAAACGGAATGGAAGAAAAAAGATGCCATAAATCTATCAGAAAGTAAGAAGGATAGAAGGAAGAAGCACAAGACGAAGAGGAAGAAGTATTTCCTGGAACGATGAAAGCCAGAAAGAATTGCAGAAAAAAAACTTGGAAAACAACATAATTCAATTTCCTGTACGTAGAGATGAAACTCGTCATAAATAACATTCCATACATGTTGTGGTACGTGCGATTCTCAAGAACTAACAATCTAGTTTTCTGTTGACTTAACGGAAATATGAACGAAATGAAAGCAAAAACAAAGGAATAACAACGATTCCAAAGCCTCTTGGAAACGGGTCATGCATAATATTTGTGCTGGCGCCCGTAATACAGTGGAAGAGAGAGGGTGAGAGAGGCTTACAGAACAGAAGTATCCATGGATAACCCATTTGCAATTGATATACTAGTATGATGCATCAGTGTCTTTGATGGGGTTGTAGTTGTTTTCGAACGAACTTAGATTATTTTAAATATTAATATTTATCAATTAATATCAATTGATTCAGCACGAAATGCCATGACGGAGATGATCAGGAGATGACGAATGGACAATATTCATTTGTTTGCCACATGATTGAATTTTGAAGATGTTTACCCATTTTATAGTCTCTTGTTGTTTACCGGGTGATGAAATTTTCGTTGTATTTGACTGGGTGAGATTGCTTTGCTTTGCTTTGCTTTTAGCAATTACCTGTATGTATGTGTGTGTGTGTTCATATCTTGATGCTCGAAAAAAGACAAGATGTGACCTTGTTTTTCGGTCCCCGTTTTTCATTCAGGACACAGTAAATATTTGAAACGTTGCAAAAAACGGATGAATGCGTTTGCACTGTCGCAATAACTTTGTCCACGGAAAAATGTCTTGTCGTGCTCTTTTTTGTTCAAAAGACGGTGAATCAGCTCATTTTCCCACAGGCTTTGTTATGCGCCAAATCCATCACGCTTAATAAATTCATGCGATAAATGTGATACGCTCACTTTGCGGTGAACGAAGTCTGTTGCTCTTAGTTGTTCACGCATGAACGTTCATGCTTTGCAGTGAACGCATCGCTAAGCGATAGTGAAGAGCAACATACCTCGTTCATCGCAAAGCGAGCGCATCATATTTATCGCATAAATCTATCGCATGAATTTATTCAGCGTGATGGATTTAGCGCATAACAAAGCCTGTTTTCCCATGAGCAAAGATACGCTTTCTCGGCGAACGTTCACAAATTAAGGGAACATTCATCATATCATTGCAAGCATTTCGATGTAAAATGTGTAAACGAACAGAAACTAACGAAGAAAAAAGCGCCGCTTTCCCTTGACTTTGTGTAAAGTTTTTAAATTGAAAAACTTTTTTTTTCAAAACGTGAAACCTCCAAATTAATATACGCATAAACGATAGCCGACGATGGAAAAAACGTCATTGAACTTGATTTTTGAGTTGGTCTTCTAATCAAACTTGGAAATGTGCACCATTTTGATACAATTGCTTCGACGAAACGGTATAAATGTGGCAACTCATCCACTCGCATTGATTTACATTGCCTGGGCCGGAAACGGTGATCAAATGGAGGCGCACCAACAAACGCCGAATAAAATCGAATCAAACTATAAAAATTTATTGGAAACATGATTGATTTTTCTCTGTCAATTCACAAAGTTGGTGTTGTTTTTTTCTTCTCTTCTCGTTCTTTTCTTTGTTGGCTTTCGTTAAATTAGAAAAGTTTTTACCCATTCAAGTGATGCTGCGGGTGGGTGCGCGGTTAAGCAGAACGGCAAGGGGACAAATTACATTCGGCTCCAGCTAAATGAAAAAAATAAATAAATAATACGCAAGCGATTTATTCAATGTAATGTTAATTGGGTAACCTAGATTATAATCTTAACATTATAGTTTCATTTACTTTCCACGTCTTTGTTAGTTTTTACTTATGTTTATGCATTAGTTCAATTTGAATACCGGATGGGGAATGGTACAGAACATACATTTAGAATTGCTCTTTTTCTGGAATAAATGCAAATGACAACGAAACTTGGGCATGCAATGTGTATTGGAGAAATGTGGCTGCTGTTCCAAGCCCAATGTGAATTGCGGAATAAGACTGGGTGTAAGAATGCCAACATAAATGAGAAGGGCCTCTCTTCTTGGTTTCAAAATTAGGTTTTTGCCAAAAGAAAGTTTGTCCATTTACTTTGCACTTAATGTTTTCGTATAGCAACGACGTTCTGTTTCATTTGCTTTGATGGATGTGACCGGCTGAACATTGTTCAAGACGCATAATGTAAACGTCCTCACACATACACACACACACACACACAGAGAGAGAGAGAGAGAGAGAGAGAGAGAGAGAGAGGGAGAGAGAAAAAACACATTCTTCGTATGTGTGTATGTGAACAAGCGCATATGACTCATACTATGAGTGTATGTATTCATTTCGTTGGATCGCAAATTGAGTATATTATGTTATCACAGATTCGTACGCGCTGCTGTTTGTTGTCATTTCCACTTGCTAATTTATCATCGGTCATTTCGCAGCACACTTCATCAATCATTTTTCGTAGGGGTTCTTTTTATTTCATCTTTTTTGCCAGAAAATCAGCATTTAATAAGAATTACTACCATCGATTCTACACTATGGGATAGTAGACTTCCAGTTGTATTTGCGTTGATCCAATGTATGTTTACTTAATGTTGTCAAATATTGGACGGAAAATTTACCGTGATAAAAATATATCAATCTCAGCTGCTTTGTATAGACTGGCTCTTTCATAGTACTTTGCTTTCGTTCAACGAAGAAATCGATTTACGTATGGCATTTTCATTTGAACATTGACTTTTCTCTCTTTCTCTCCTCTCATTGAACTGGCAATCAACAAACAAAACAGCAACATAACAACATGTGTACTCAGCAAACTCAAGCCATTTCTCTGATTTTATGTTCACATCAATTGATAATTAATGTGACGGAAAGTGACAGGAATTATTTAACGCTGATTCCGAATTTATGCAAACACTATTCGCTGATTCACTGTCGAAATACAATGACATCGCGTCATTGTTATGTGATATTTGAATAGTCACAACAATTGATTGCGAATATACCATCGATGAAATGGCTACGTAAACGTTTTTGTCGTCTTCTTCATTTAATGAATTTGTGGAAGATTTTCCCTTTCAATGAATTTGAAATGAATTTTCAGGGCTGAAAAAGTGATTTTGTGGCGCTTCACATGCTCTATGGCATACGATTCTTGCCAACATTTGGAATTTTTCAATTATTTCCTCTTATATACATCAAAGCGAAAAATTTCTGGTGGAACAAAATGCAACAAACGGAAAGCTGCTTTTCCAATTCGATTCCGCTACGCGATTTCATTTGTCTCGAATTGTGTTACTCGTGAGCTAATTTATTTTCTTCTTTTTTATGGCTTTGGGATGCGGGAACGCGCATTTTATTTTTTTCCACTCAACGGATGCAATCAATATGGGATGCTTCAAAACCACAGTAAAAAGAGAAATGGTTAATGAAATCAACTTTTGAATGGAGCATATGCTCTTTTTGTCTGGTATTCACACAATCCACACTCCATACTTTTGTTTATTCTCATCAAATGCGATGTGAACTTTCAGCGTGTAATTGTATTTCACACATGTGCGGTTTTGGTTCAGTACGTACACTTTTTCCTTTCGCTGTATGGCATGACAATTGAATTAGTATAGTAAATGTTATGTATGTTCCGATGAACAGATAGTATCATATCTTCGTTGTGTACACACACACGATGGAACAAAATATTACAACAAAGCAAGAGAAGGAAAAAAGGGAGTATGTGTGGAGAGAAAAAAGAGCATTTACACTATACACATCACTGAATGGGGTGAACGAATAGAGTTAGACGCATTCTCACGCTATTCATTAGTTACAATTGTACTTTAACAAACAAAAAAACACCGTAACCAACAGCAACTCGACCATATTTTCAAACCATTTCCATTAGCAACATTCAAATGGCAAAACATGGATGCGGAGAGAAAAAAATGATTGAAAACAATTCTTAGTTCGTATTCGGTTTTTTCCGGGAAATTCCATTTTTATTTTGATTGCAAACTTTTCAATGCTTTCGCTGTCGGCCGGGCCCCCCCCCCACTCCACCCCTTAACTGTCTCGGTTTCATTTGTTTATCTAACATTTTCCCACACTGGATTGACTGTCGATGTGGATTGAAATATCGTTTTTTTTTTGTATCCATTTTGGAATAAAATCGAAAACTCGTTTTTGATGTAAATTGCTGTTCAAAAAACCAAGCGATCTTTCCCTTCTCGCTGTTGTGACAAAAACTAATTAAACTCGTACCTCCGTTTTTCATTTCAGATGAAAAGAGTGTTGAACTGAAAAGCTGTGTGCGGAGAGAGAAAGAGAGAGAGAGAGAGAGAGAGAGAGAGAGAAAGAACGCCAGAAGGTAATATCTCACTTTAATGAAATAGGCTAATGAAACTTTTTTATGGCTTTCGTTGGCATACATTCGCGAGACGAAATAAAAAATCGCTGCAAAATATCGCAGTCATTGCTCATTTAGTCGAGAGCACTTTCGATGGAAAATGTTCCACCAGAGAATGTAATTAAAACTGTGAATGTATGGCGCAACCACAAAGCCGTAGGGATACGATCAATAATTATTGACTTTATTATAATAAAGAAAAATATGTTTTCTATATGATGAGCCAATATTTTACCATTGAATAAGAATTCAAAGGTTTACCATTAAAGCCACCAAAGTGGCGAACACAAAAACCATATCAAGTACCGTCGTTGGCGTTGCCATAGCCACCGTCCATCCGAATGGTAATAACTTCAATATGTTTAGACAACATAACTGCCCACACGCTTTTTCAATCCATTGTAACATCGCTGTTGGGCATTATTCAAATAAAGGTGCTAGACACGATACGGATCTTTAACACAATACAGTTAATACAACGAGGGCGACCATTTTCGTTGATGTGAAAACCGATTCATTGATAAGTGGTTTGTTTAATGGGGGGGATGTATTGTGATACCCTGAGTGACCCATTATATATTTAATGGGCTCTAATTTGATCAAATTTCAATGATTTTCAATGGTCAAACATGTTTTGGTAATGGTTATATGAACCATTGTTGTCATTATTTGACATTGCTGTCCCATTGAATCCCAGATAATTGATAACTCTGCGCTTTCAATGTGTATCGAATGCTAGTTAAAGTGGAAAATGAGTGTAAAGAACTTTTTTTTATGGTTATACGTGTAAAAATGCGCTTGACAGTACATATATAATTAAGACAAGTCAATTGTACTTGGGAAAAAGTGCGTTTTTTGACAAAAAAAAGAAAAACATTTTAAATCGCTGCAGTCCAGGACTTGCAATCAAAATTCCATAGACAAAAATTTTTAAAAAGTTTTTAATGAAAATTAAACTTTCGCTGCGTTCAATTCTTTGAAACGGTAAATCGTTTTTGGGGGAATTTCCGCCATTATAGATCTGCGGATAGCAAAAAGGCAGGTGGAAAATTCAAAATTTATTTATGCCATGGGCCATATCTTGGAGGAATATTTTGAAAGCTGTACTTTAAGTGCTGCGCTCTCTCTTTCTTGGTATAGATTAAAATGTCGCTATCAATTATTGTCTGGACATTTGATGGTATCGCTTACTTACTGTGCTGGAGTGGATACCTGCGATATGGATATGGATACGGGCACGGAAGGTTCGAAAATGGAATAATAATTTCGTTCTTAAGTGGATGTGATTAGAAGCTATTTTGCATAATCTTGACTTAATGTATTAACTGCATGCGCTCTCAATTTCGAAACAAACGAAAAATTTATCTCGATGTGATGGCTTTAATGCTCCTGTAAAAGTGGTAATCAGTGAGTCGGCGCTAGAGAATACAATCCACGTGCTCTGTCCACCAGAGTCACTCTATTTTCTATCTCATATTGTACTCAGACAGAATTTAGCGGAACAATGATTCCGATTTATCGGAATCAAAACCAAACGGAATGATAAATCGAAACAAATGTTCCGAGATTCCGATTTATCGGTATTCTTTAATGTAAAATAGTTATTAAAAATACAATTTCAAATTATCGCGTCTATCATTGATGTTCGACATTCGTCGATACAATTGACAGCGTGCAAAAATGGGAACTAAAGTATTCACGCTCTGTTTGGAAATATTTGAACATTTTCGTTTCTATATTGGCATGGTGAAAGTGGCTCCAAATTGATCTCATAGCCATTGTAATGCATATGCCCGTTGACATTAGACAAATGATAGCGGATACCTACTTCCAGCATCAACATCACCACACCATCGAGTAAATAGAAAGCACAATGAAAATGAGAGCAGACACCGAAATTCGCAGCGCAACGCGAACGAAACTCAATCTCATGAAAATATCGAAAGCAATTAAGCTTTTCGGTGTTTATTTTCTCCTGATAAATGTGCCGCTATCAAGTTTAAGCTCATTCACAGTTCGCCATTCAGATATAGACCGCAAAAAGTATCGTAAAACTTTTCTTATTACAAACAGTTTTCGTACGGTGAACGGCTGACTGTGCTGCTGCTTTATAAATAAGCTGTATCACATGCGATTTGTATATCCGCATTGATGGAATTCTGAATGAAGTGATTTGTTTTGTCGCGCAAATGATTTTTGTTGTTTGTTTTCCACACCAAATGTTGGTTTATTGAAGAAGAAAAAAGAAAAAAGAGGAATCGACGTGAGGTGGGTGGCATTAAAGCCACACGCCTTACTTTTTCTCGGGTGACCGAATTTTCACTCACTTTGATTCACTTGAGACGGCCGATGTGGTGACGAAGACGACGACAGGTGGAAACGAATTAAATTCAATTTCGGTCTACGATGCTTGAGCGCATGTCATCAAAATCTCTCGACAGCATCCATCAAAACCCACGAGTGAGAAGGAAAAAAACCAATTAAAACACATAATGCGCACACAAACCTTTTGCACAAGTTGAATGGAGCGCATTTTTTGTTGCATTGCTTTCGAAACAACGCCGCGTATGGGCAAAGTGTTGTGACGAAACAATGTTTTGAATCTCGGTAGCGCAACAGAAAGAAAGAAAATGAATGGTTAACATCAGACTCATTTCGATTTTCTATTCGCAATTTATCGTAATGTGTGCGCGAATGAACCGCAAGTAAATGAAAAACATATGAAACTTTTCTCGTTACGCTAAATTTATAGTGCCATTTCATTGGAAGTGCTCGTAAAATTTTATACTTTTTCAATCGAACGAATTGTCAAGTGTCTCATATCGATTAACGACAATTCTATTTATTTTAATTGCAACCAGTCAAGAGGCTGCCTTCAATTTTTTCCCTCCGGCATGAAAAAAAGCTAAAATAAATAAATGAAGAGAAGTAAAATCGATATGGTACGCACGACTTATTCATCGTTTGTACATAAATAATGCCTCGAGACAGGAAATGTATGTTGTAATTTCAGACAAATTTTTCTTCCATAAGCAAAATGAAACGATAAATAGAGAAATATGACCTCCATTCGGTTGATATAATAGCGATTGTCGGTTGCCGGTTGCAATAAGCGAAAACTAAACGATGGCAAATGAGTTTTCATGTTGTGTCGCATTCCAATAATAGAGAGAAAGAGAGGGAGAGAGAGTAACAGCAATCGCACATGTGATGGTTCCACGCTATATTGATTCATTTGAAATAAATTAAAATCGATTAACGGTTAAAAGTGTGCACACTGCAAGAGACGAGCAAATAAATGACACCAATCGATCTTTGGTTTGTTCAATTGTCGTATGTCGCTTGATCAATGTTAATTCAATCGAGTGGCGCCATTTATTTTATTTTACCATCCGTTTTTACCGGATGGAACCAACCAGTCAACCATCCACCCCAACAGTCGTCGTCGTCGTCGTCGAGGTGAAAATAGAATGAAGATAACAAAATTTCAAATTGGCAGTCAATTTGATTTGAAACGGTAGACGACATTATTAAATGGGTATAAAAACCTGCGGCAAGTAACAAGAGTCGAATATCAACTTTAAAATGTCACCCGCAAAATGAAGTATTCTAGTGATCAAAATCGAATTGAGCGTTGGTTTTTTCTCGTTTTTTTTTTGCGTAGTTGGTTGATGAAAATGGAGAGTTGTTGTCGTTGGACGGTTGGCATGAAACGTAGGACTATTTCGGTATGTTTCTATGTTTGTGTTTGAATGGAACAAATTTCACATCCTTGAGGCGATTCAAACAAAGTGTACAAAAGTGTTGCGAACAAAAGCACATGAAATAGGCATCGTCCGAAGACGTGCGTCTCGACACAATATAATCGAATTTTGATGTACACCATATGGTGTTTTGTGTGCAAAACACGTATCAAACGGAAATGTATCGTCTACTCTATATGCGCCCTCCCCTCACTCTCTTGCTATCTCCTTTTTTTCAGTTTGTACTTTCCTAATTGCCAGAAGATTGAGTCGAATTCATAGCTTGAATAATTGATTTTTCACGGTTGCTGTTGTGACGGTTGGCTCGAGTCCATCGATTTGCCGCATTTATAAAATATAGGAGGAAAGTGTTTTTTTTTCTTCCATTGAATTCACCACAAACATAAAAACAAATTGAACTAGTATTATATTCGCATGTAACGCAGGCTGGATGCCAATTAAAATTCGTTTCGATTCCATTTTGCTGCGTTGCTTGCGCTTGATTTGCCTGAAAGCCAAACGAACCGAGCAATTACTTCAGATGGCATTAACTTGTACTGCGGATATGAAAAATGTGTGTGTGTCCATTTGTGGGACACAGACCCACACACGACTAAATCCATTCGCATCAGCAGCGACAGCACGGACATCTCCAAATGGAAAACACAAACATAAAATACAAACATGAATATGCAAAACGCTATCTATTAAATGAATCTATGTGTGCTTCCTCTTTTCATTTGCTTGTCCTTGTTGTTGTTATCATTTTTTGTTTGCTTTGCGACAGTCTTTGCACAAATCTTTAGATTACTGGCCTCGGAAAGCGGACGATGCAAATGGATCCATCCACCTAAATAGGTGAATAGCTTTATGGTGATCCGATGTAAACTTCCGTTTTCTGTTTGTGTACTCTGTAAAATGTGTACCGTCGAATGTAAAATTGCCCTTGGTTTTCATCCAATTTAATTCCATCCGTAGCCCCGAATAAAAACCGGAAACATTCCAAATTGGATTGTTTACTCTTTGTGCTTTCAAATGACCAGATAAATCGAATTAAAATGGAAACGAGAACGAAACCAATTTGGACATTCTTGAAATTGATGCAATTTATTCAAGTTTCTAGCAAACATTGGCTATGATGCGTCCATTGCAACCACTCTCTCCCCCAATTTGTGTGGTTTTCAGCATGGTGTTGTTAGTTCTGGAAAAACTTGGATT